AGAATACTTAAAAAGCAAAATGGGGAGAGAAAACTTGAAGATGATCATGTTTAACCCCTGAAGATCAAAATAAGCCAATATATTATGTGAAAATGATGGGTGGAAGTCGAATAAGCGTGAAGTCGATCCATCTTTTAGTGATTCATGAGGCAGAGATGTTTGGAGTCTTATCATCTATAGATCAGAATAAGGAAATATATGTAATGAAAAGGAAGAAGTTGAAGAACTGTGCAGAAGTCGAACCATTTTTTCTTGATTTTGTGAGAAGAGATGGTTCGGTTCAATGAAACATTAATGCACGCATGGATGGACGAGCAATACTTGGCAAACCAATAGATACAAGCAAACGAAAATTCATTTGTTGCCTTGTATCCTCAAAAAACATAATTGCCTCCCAATAAATAAAACGCTAACAATTAATTGCCAACAACAAAACATAGTCATAAGCCAAGTGGAACAATGACAGAACAGCCACAACAAACAATTAAAAGACATGAGCCAATAGATGAAAGCCATGTAGACCAATCACAGAACAGCCACAACATTTATAGGATATAGATAGATAGATAGATAGATAGATAGATAGATCGATTGTAAACCATATTGAAATTTTCATTGCACCAATTGACAGAGCAAAATCAATGAATCAAGTAGAAATTAAACTATTTTATTGAACATAATGTGTGCATGAAACATAGGAACCAAGGAAATAAAGGCTTAAAGTCAAATTTTGCTCCTAAAGTTTTTACACACAACCTACGGATATACAAAAGTGATAAAGATGTGATGTTATGTACTAACTACACTAATCTTAATTCACTTTATTCTTCATACTTATTTTTGTAAAATTAATTTTTATAATAGCGTATAATAAAATTTTCATTAAATAGTAGTTTTGATTGATATAAACATTAGTAAGAATATTTTAGAAAAAATAACACATATTTATTACAAATAATTAACTTAACTACCTTTATTTAATCTACTTAAATTAATTAACTAGCTTTTATATTAAGAATAAGAGGTAATATATCTTTTAATTTGAATTTGGGTCATCTCACCCTTTCTCCCGTTCTTTTTTTAATTGTTTCACTTACTATTAAATAAAAAAAAAAGATTGATATTCAATATTTTATAATTTTTTTTATTTTTCAACCAGTGTACAATTGTACAAATTGTTTAGATCAAATTTTATTAATTTAAATTTATGAGAAAATTTTAAAAAAATGACTGTTGAATTTTAAAATTCCAAATCAGTATTGATTACTACACTCGTAAAAAAAATGACTAAATTTCAAAAGCAAATGAAAACAAATTTCTGTAATAATTACTGATTTAGAATTTTAAAATTCAACAGTCATTTTTTTAGGAATTTTTTCTAAATTTATTTACTTATATTTTATGTAATATTATAATCATCATTTTATAAAATGTTTAAGTCTCAGCCCCTTATTTTTTATCCAATAAGGGGGTGAGGAGAAAAAAAAAGCACCGAAAAAATAAGTAGATAATCCAAATCCTTTTTAATGTATAAATATAAATTACAAAATTAATGTAATCTTTGGTTCTTTGCACGGATTTTGGTTGTAATCCTAGGAATTTCAATCAATAAATTTTGACCCCTCAAAAGGTAAAATGGTCCAAATGTTTATTGAATTATTGAAACTTAAGTGTTAAATGAAAAGAAACTTTAAAGAATTAAAACCTATAGTTTAAAATTTGATGATCAAAATCTATTATTTAAAATTTGAGAACCCAAAATTAAAATAAAAACAAATCTAAAAGATAAGAAATTGTATTAACTCTAAATAATATAACATAATCTATAAATGGATCAGTTCAAAAATAACAAACACAACACTGGAGGAAAGAAGAGGAAATCAAATGAAAGAAAAAGAGGAAAAAGATGAGAGCCGCCTCCGTATCTAAAACCTCCTTCTCGCCTCATCAACCGGAAACCGATAACTGGAGAGTATATGTTGCAAAAGCAAGAGCGATCCAGAGATCACGTTGACAATATAGCTTCAACTTTATGAGAATAATTGAAATTTGACTATTTCAACCTAGAACAAAACAAAAAATTAATATGTCAAAAATACTATCTTCGGCTCTAAATATAAAAAGTGGTTAGATATTTAATTTGATTTTAAATATAATATTCAAATCTTATTTATCTTTCATATTTATTTTTTTTAAGTAGTTCCTATGATTATATTAAAGGGTCTTTATTCTAATGGACATGATTAATAAAATATTTTAAAAAAGATAATATTTATTTATTATAAATAATTAATTTTTTTAATATTTACTAATGAGTTATTTAACGCTTACGAGAATACAAGGCAGTACGAGACATTGAAGATTTTTATTTTATTTTTTCATTTGGTGACTATGAGGTACGATCGGACGACTTTTTACTGACAAATCCTTGAAATTGATGCAAAAAGTTTTCCCAGAGAAAATTCAAAGGAAAAATAAAATAATTATAAATATAGTACTTGAAGGAATCAATTTTAAATTAAGATTTTGAAATTTAGATAAAAGAACAAATATATCCTCATTTTTAAAAAGAAAAAGTGAAAACCGTTTGTGTTAGCGGAATTTGATCCTTTAATCACTTGCATCCTAAGATTAAGAATTATTATCGAGCTAATAAGTTTTGTCAACATTATAAAGTAAAAACAAATAAAAAATAATTAACCCTTTTACTTTTAACTATATGTCATATACAACACTTCATATAAGAATAACAATAAAGTGCCCGTTTAGATCAGTGATTGGAAAAGCAGCTTATAGAAAAAGTAGCTTATGAAAAAGTGAAGTTAGTAAAAGTTAAATTGGATAAGCTGAATCGTGTTTGGATTGGAGTTCAGAAAGGTCAGTTTGCAAAAGTGAGATTGGTAAAAGTTTGTTTGGATTATAATTGAGTAAAAGTAAGTTTGGCTGAAAAATTACCAAAATGGGTATGAATTTTAATAAATAATAAAACGTGATAAAAAAATTAATTTCAAATAATACAATAAAATTAAAATAAATTAATATGAAGAAATCAAATTTAATGAGTGGATTAAATTTTAAAATTTTAAAGAAATCATAAAAAATATTTTAAATATACAGTGAAACATGGAGAAAAAAAACAGAACTTAAATAATATAATAAAGAAGTGAAATTTAATGAGTGAATTAAAATTGAAAACTTTAGAGAAATCATAAAAATGGAAAAGGAGGAAGGTCACGGGCAGAGAAAAGGCAGAAAAAGAAACGAATAAAAAAATGGAGAGAGAATTGACAAAAAATATAACGGTCCAGAGAGCTTTGTGATCGGGCGTTGCAATTTCCAAAAGCTTCTCCACAGAGCTTAACAGATCAGGCGGTGCAATCTAATTTTTGGTGGATAAGCTGGATGGCCCAAATGCTGATCCAAACTGCCTTCAATATGCAATTGGGCTTATTATAGCTTTTCATCAGCGTTTGGCCCATAAAACGCTCTCCCAAACAGGCTCAAAATGACTAGTCTCTAATAGAAATTACCAATTCGTTTTCTTCTAAACGAAAAAACAAAAAGTTATACTTGGTCAAAATTTGTGTTAAAAAAAAAAGGTCAAAATTAGTTTTTAATTTTCCAAACATGACTTAATTAATTGAATATCAATTCCTTTTACCTAATTCTTTTAAAAATAAGATTTTGATTGCGACTTAACTAATTAGAAAAATCGGATTCTTTGTTTAAATCAAACTTGTTTTAGGTTGTTCAGATAGCGCTCGACTGATAAAAATTTATTAAACTTGAATTATTTGAAGAATTCCTTGCGCGCTTGAGGAAGTCACAATGAGAAGTTGGACCATTCTTCACGTAGGATTGAAATCATAATGGCACCATCGTCGTCATTATCAATAAATAATTTACAAAATGTTGAACTATTTACAAGTAATGTATATAGCCTGGTTATTTCTCAGAGGTTATGTCCAACATACAGAAGAATCTATCAAACAATATATCTGATCCTTAATATAAGAGTTGGATAACTAATTTAATAAGATTAAAAAAATTAGTTAGTTATTTGTAATAAATGTGTATTGACTTTCCTAAATTACTCTTATTTAATCATGTCCATTAAAACTATACTTGGATGGAAATACCATAAGTATGTTTTTTTAAAATATGTTATAAATTTGGGAGATAGAGTGAATTAATGTTTTATATTTAGTATCGAAAACAGTATTAAGTGATATTGTGTAAAATATGTTTCAAACAATAGACTGCGTCAATATATGATTAAAAAAACGTAGTTTTAGGACGAAAATTTTTTCATTGAATCAGTCAATCATCCTCCACACTTGATGTGGTTCCCATTTTAGACACGTAGTTGTTGAACCATACAAGTTACTCTGTTTTCCCAATTTCATAGTCAAATTAATTAACTTTAACGATTCTTTTCCGTGTCCTTGTCTTGGTTATCATTTAGTCTGAAGTCAGTCTACTGGATGATTTTTGAAAAATCATAGTTCCTTCAGTCCTAAACGTAAAAATTAGCAAAAAGATTATTTTGATTTTAAAGATAAGATCTTGGTAATTCACTTTGTCTCCTAAAGTTATAATTCTTTTTCTAAGTAGATCTCTCTGTTGACAACACATACTAATTAAGTAGATTTTTTTATCAAAGGAGCATTTTTTTAATGTAAATGATTAAATTATTTTAAGAAAACCAACATTATTTTTTTTACAAATAACTAACTGGATTAATTTTCTTAAACTTTTCAGATTAGTTAATTATTTTTCATATATTAGGGAAGAAGTATTTGATAATAACAAAATTTGAAAAAAAAGACACTGAATTTCAACTACCTAAACATACTGTTTATATCCTCTATATATCTTGGGTGTGTGCGCGCATCGAAGTCTATATAAAGCCACAAAGTGGTGGTACTTCCTTGTACAAGAGGGTCAATCGTCGGAGCTTAACGTTTAACTTCTATAAGTGTGTTTGGAAGAAGAAGATAAGGAAGATGATGAAGAAGCTGGTTTGGTACCTTATTTTGATTTTTGTGCTTCTCTTCTCCTTCCAATTTCCGCCAACATCAGCTCGGCGACTTGGTGATCACCCTTATGTAAATCCATCATCAGGTATGGATATCCACGCGGCAAGGATTATTATTAACCCATCGATCTTTTCCATTATTATTAGAGATGTTTATTAAATTTTAACCTTAATGATGCTTATAATTAGCTGTCTCATTTATCACTTGCCATGTGAAAATTATATTGGAGAGAGTTCATTTATGGTCTTCGATCACTTATTTATTTTTCTTCTTATCTCGTAACTCTACCTTCTTCATTTTGCTCGTGTATAGAACACAGCGATTATCACGATTATTGGCCACCCCATGCCTAAGTGGGCGTACGGGCAGCGATGGTGAGCTAAAGCTGAGCAAAAAGGAGAACCACCTTGTTGGAATCAGATATTGATGTCTTGCAATTTATATCTAAATTACTTCATAAATATACAGTTTGCGTTCTAAGTTGTCGACTTTGTCCAATATAGATTAAACCAGAATATCAATCTCTAGTGCTGTGAATCTGTACGTGATCAGTCGCAGCGTTGGGTAGTGGATATTTTTTTTGAGAGGATATTATATTTTGCAGTTTTTATGGGTATTTACATGATGAAGAATTGGCCTGTCCAATCCAGCTTTCCAAGCAATAAATGATTTTCCTTTCATTGCTGTTATCTTATTCTGCACTAAGGCTCTTCGTCTAATCATCAATCCACATGGATATTGTTACTATCTCGAATCTATAATAAACTCTTCAGATTCGAATTCTTAATGTAAGACTTAATTGTTGAACTGATCTCGTATTAAGGACCGAAGGACTAATTAACAGAACTTCTCTTGATACTGCAAAATAAAGTTGTTTGAAACAGAAAAAAGGAGCATACGTGGCACTTCACTTTTATCACCAGATTATGCTTCCTTGTGAATGACTGGACAATTATGAGAGATTAAAAAAGATCGAGGTGGGTTACATTTATATGATCAAAACAAACTCATCAATTAACTCCTATACATTTAGGACTTGGGGAAGTAATACTTAAAGAAACTTGTTAACAAACTAAGATCAGAAATCCAGGAAAATAAACTTACAACATTTGACTAATTAAATAAAAGTAGAAAACAACCGACTTACTAATTATCAAATTATTTGAAAGACATAAGCCCACAATGTTGAAATTTATAATGTAACACCTATCCCTTATATACTAGTAGAATTATTCTATTTAATCATGATCCATTAAAAGCCAGGTTTCATCCTGGGAATTATATATATATAATTTTTATTTCCATTCGGCCTTTCGAATCCTCAATTAAGTCAACTATAGCCAATAGGGTTTAACATTTGACACCCTAGCCATTGGCTCACACGACGAGATACATAATTAGATACACATAAATTTTAGGCCAAATAATAATTATATCAAAAAAAAATTGACTATTTCCCTCAATAGCAGTCATTATGATCTATCTGCCCTTAGTCATCTCCTTATGGAGGAATATTTACATACCAATATAGATATACAATATATATCTTTACTCCAAAATAAGATGCATTTTAGCAAAATATATATAAACAAAAGATCGCCAGCTTCCTGCGCCTTTAAACTCCACCGATCACTACTCCCTTGCCCTTAGGAGTACTTGCTCTTGCTGTATTACATGGAAGAAGGGGTGAGATTCTAAAGAATCCCAGTAGTAACAAATTTCCCTCACGTAATCATACAAGATCACAAACAACATGCTACACAGGCCAAAGAGAACAACACCTTGCATCCAAGTATAATCAATGATGCATATACACCATACACCCATATAGCTAATCGCTATCTATCGCGCCCACATTCCAAAATAAATGGAAACCAGCATATTGTCATGACAAATATTATTATGCAAAGGCAACTTACATGTTTTCATGCATAATCAGCATAAAGGCACATCCAAGCATGTGGCAATCCATATACAATCACATTAAAGGAAAAGAGTTACTACCTTTTGCTTTTTCTTCTGTACTAACTTCCCCTTGCTTCTTTCTTGGCTCCCTTCTTAATGGACTTGAACAAATATCAAATCCTATAAATTATATAGGCAAGGATAGATTAATATATATATATATATATAGGTATAAGTATTTAAGTACTCTCCCATTTCCCTCATGCTTCCCACGGTCATACTTCCAAAAGTCACACACACGCATATAAATATATATATATATATATATAACAATTATACTCCACAAACTTATAAACAATTAGCATACATTAATCTTTTCGGATATTTCTCCCACAATTCCAGCTTCATATGCGTCATTCTATTTCCCATTTTAAGGTCCAAAAATCTTGATTCAGTCGTGCAGCAGGGGAAAATAAGAAGGGAGAAGATATTAGGGTAGAATAAGTCAGCAAGGGCGTGTGAAATAGCTATTATACCCTTTGGTCTTCATTTTCCCTTCAATTTGATCCTTCTCTATTTTTCCAGGATAATCAGATAATTCCAGAAATCAAACCTGGATATTTTATATGAATTTTCTTCTTCCATTAGCTTCTTTAGTCCATAAAATAATTTCCTAAAAATCTCAGCTCAAAAATTAGCCTCTAACTATTTTTCTTGAATATTCCAAGAAAATAAGTCCTAAATTCTTGAAATTAACTTTATAATTATTCAGACCATATTTTAAGGGTCTTAATCTCAACAATTTCTCTAAAAATTTCTCCTTCATCATGCTTTACTCAAATCCATAAAATTTGGGATATTACATATAACCTCATCACAATTGAATGTCTAAAATACTCAAACATTGATGAAGATTGTGCTTTGTTGTGAACATCATTTGAGCCACCTGCTCTCTGATGATGAAATGATGGATTCTTAGTCTTGACAATGGTGAAATAATTATCATGTTAAATGGCGCTTGCCTTTAGTTGTTGCAGCTTCCTTTAATACTGACTAACACTGAGGTGCTTCTTCGATCATCCACTGAAGCCTAATCAGTAAATTTTTTTTTTGGTGACATAATCAGTATTATTTGAGTTACCACATAGAAGTAAACTATCATAGTTGTACCAAGCATCTTAATTAAGAACTTGTTTTAGATAGTTTTATTCTCGTTCTTACATGTGTCAAAAGAAGACCTATATTGCTCAAAGTTAAAAGAAGCCTCAATATATATACTACATCCAGTTCTTAATATAAAAGCTACTTAACAAATGAGTAGATTAAGAAAATTAATTAAGTTAGTTATTTGTAGCAAATATGAGTTGATTTTTCTAAAGTATCCCTTTTGATCATAACTACCCCTAAATGGAAACCCTTGACATGTGTATTTAATATTAGAAAATGAATTATAAATTTGGAGGACAAAATGGATTGAGATTTTAAAACCAAACTTAATTCCTAACTAGCTCTTTTATTAAGGACTAGAGATAGTATATATGCCAAAATGTGAACTTGGGCTAATAAATAAGAAGTGTTCGGTCACCTGCACAACAATAAGCCAAATCAACCCTTGGAGTTTTTTTGGTTTTTCTCCTCTTCCTCCCCAGAGTTCCCCCCCCCCCCAAAAAAAAATGGCTTGTTTAATCTTAGAAAGTCGTCACATCCCATAGTGGTAACAGAATAACACTTAAGGATAGTAGTCTGAGGCATGACTTGAATCGGATTTTCTATATATGCTGTCAACATTCAAGTTCAAGAATCTTATTTTTGTTCAAAAACTTAATTTTACTGCGGTTAACTCTGCAAAATGTCTGGTCCAGTTTGGATAATATACAGTAAATTACCATTATGTAAACTGCTATAATAATCACCACCAACTTAAAAGATAGTTGCCTAGACAACAATTGTATTGATGAAATATTTAATGAGTTGCTGGTTTCTAAACTTCAAGGATTGAGTTGACAGCTGGGATGAGATTATAAGGAAGAATTAAGTAATTTTCCCTGTAACCAACAAATGAGTTGGTGTAGCGGCGTAAAGCCCACTAGATCCCTTTCGGTCTTAAGTTTAAGTCTAAGAGGAGATACCTTTATAAGGAGGAGAAGCCATGAACCCCGAACCAAATTAGTCGGTTCCTCAGGTACCTAATAATAAGATCCAGAAAAGTGCCAAGTACCGGAAAATGATATAAAAAAGTAATTTTCCTTGTATCTTTTTTTTTTTTTAATTTCAGAGTATATGCGGTTGCTTGATTAAATGTTAAAGCCATGGAACATATGAAAGTTTTAATTTTCTAAGTTCTTTCATATAATATTAAAATAAATGAAATTTGAGGCGTATCAATTAAAAGCAGCAAGGAAGGTCTACGGAAAATGAAAGCTGACTATTAATTAATTTCCTGACGTATACATGTTTTTTGATTGTTTGGACAATTATTTTTATATTTTCATGGTAATAACATAGATTCAACTTTACGAAATAATAAGTTTTGTCACAAAATTATTATATATGGAAAACTTAGCTTGACTATTTGAAGGACAGAGGAAATGACTAAAATGTCAAATATATGATGATTATTAAGATAATAAAAACTAGTGTAATTGATGGAACGTTTGTCAACTGAGACGAAAAATTATATAATTACTAACATAGGGACTTTGAAATTATTTTGCATAATTGATTTAAAATTATTAGCTCATTACTCGGCTAATTAGATGAATCAGAAATCACTATTTTAAACTCGTTTAGGCTGTTTGGATAGTGACTGATTAAAAAAAATTATGAAGCTTGAAAAATGTAAGTAATTGTTGGAATTCAAATTCTTTCATTTGACGAATTCTTTGTGCACGATTGGGTTATTTTATCAAGAGAATTTGTATTTTAATAACAGTCCTAGATCTGAGCATGCCACATTGACTCAACTAGATAGATGCCATTATATTCTTTATAGGAAAAATCATTAAAAAAAAGAAGACCTTGAAAATAGAAACATTGCAAATAGAGACTTGTTATGATATTAATATTGGTTTTGATAACAATTGATAAGCAAATAACAATAATTTTTGTGAACGGATCCGTGTATCTAATATTTCTATTTTTAAAGTGTTTTTTTCCCCTGTAAATTTCCCTTCTTTATATTCAACTCAAGTCATTTAAAAATTAAATCATGATTTCGATCTTGAATCCATTTATACTTGAATATAATTATCAATATAAAATTTAAAATTTATAGGAATAAGTGTCAAGCAATAATTTTCAGGCCTTAAATTGTATGTCTAAGGGCCAGAAATCTAATTATGATCGAAGTCACAGAGTCAACCAATAATAATTAAAATAATTTAATTTAATTAAAATAAGTATTATATTTTAAGTTTATTGTTATCATTATTATTACTGATCTTTTATAACATTAATTAAAGTAAAATTTAATTAACTTTTAACTCAGTTAAAAATTAATATATAATCTTTCCCAATTTAATAAATTAAACGTTAAGTAATCACCCAATCCTATATGGCATGAGAGGTTATACTTACGAGGCTTCCCAATAAACTTAGTTGGAAGCCACATGACATAAGCAGCCTCTTTTCTCGCATGGGATGACTAATTGATGATCCAAAATGAGTTGTATATGACAAAGCATTAATTTATTAAATGACAAAACATTAGGGAACACGATTTAACTGATATAAAAACTCAAAGACTAAACCATATCAAGTTATAGTTGAAAGACTAAGTTCTAATTGAGTTAAAACTTGAAGGATCAGAAGATTAGTTTTTTCCAAAGTTAAAATCATGATGTGGAATCTAAGATATCTTTGGCTAAATTTGCTCTTAAAACACATATTCTCGTATGAAAGAAATGAGATTATTCGCCGCAATTATTGAGGCTATATTGAACATTTCACTCGGTAAAACCCCCTTGCCGCTGAGAATATCTATTAGCTCAGACTTCAGAGGCCATATTAAAATAATTATTGGTGAGTAAACTTGTCATTTAACATATTACATATATATGTATATATGCACTGATTGTTAATGATAGCATTAAAAATTACATATAAATTTTGATAATTTTTTGTCGCACCCTTTTCATCACATTTTCATTATTTTCATTCAAGATCATTCATACGCAATCTTCTGGTCCAACGACTTTGGATAACTAATCACTTAGACCCCACGTCACTCATTATCTCGTTATTAGAAGTCACAAGTAATCTTAGTCTAATTTTTAAATTGTTCACGAAAAATATATATTTCTTGGGCTACATGTTATTGCTAATTTTAAAATGAATTAGGAAAAAGAGAAGAAAGGCAATGCCGTACTTGCTAATTTTTTTTTTTTCAAAAAATAGGGTAAAGTCACATTCAGCACCCTAATGACTTTTTCCTGATGCATCCAATACTTTCTGATATTATTATCAAGTTACATGTAGCATCCTAATTTTATTTATGAATTAGAGGTCTTGGATGCATAATTAAAAAAAAAAAGATGGTAGGAGCGCCAAGAAAATAAAAGCAGGATACTGGATGCATTATAAATAAGAAGAGAGTGTTGAATGGTATTTTACCCAAAATTTTATCCTATCCATTTTCTTCTGAATATCCATCATATAAATTGGAGGAGTTTGCTGGTAATCAAGGACAGTTTTGGACTTTTGGCAACTTGCACAGCGAAACAATTTTTTAATCATTAGACGTGGACACGATTGGGAACACGTGTCAACGCAATAGAAGGAACAAAACGTCAAAAATTTTGATTTAAAAAATATAAGCGTTGGAGAGAACCAGTTAAATCGCCAGTTTAGTAATCTAAACGAAGAGATAAATGTTCAGTGCATGGGGTGTATATAAAAGGGAACTCCGGTTTGAAAAAAATAAACTGGCATATTCTGAACAATAATGGCTCATAATACAATTTCTCTCTTACTTGCAAGCCACATTGCTTGCTTGGTTTTTTGGTCACTATATCATTGCCAGCTCACTTCAGGACTTACAGAAACTGAAGCTCTTCTCAGATGGAAGCAAAGTCTCCCATATCAGCCAATTCTGGATTCATGGGTCTCTCAGCCTCAAGCCAATTCCACTTCAGCCCAAACCCCTTATTCATGGCGTGGAATAAAGTGTGATTCTTCAGGAAGTGTGGTTGAACTCAACTTGAATAACACTGGTCTCAAAGGTACCCTTAAAAACTTGAATTTCTCAGCGTTCCCAAATCTTGTTCTTCTTAATCTCAAATTTAATCAGCTCACTGGTCCCATACCAGAAACAATTGGGTATCTCTCAAAACTACAGTTCCTTGACCTCAATCGTAATCATCTCAATGGCACTATGCCTCTTTCTCTTTCTAATCTTACTCAACTTTATGAGCTTGACCTTTCACAGAATGATATAACTGGGATATTAGACCCTCGTCTATTCCCTGTTGGATCTGATGAACCCAAAACAGGCTTGATTGGTATAAAGTATCTTGTGCTTCAAGGCATGCTCCTTGGAGGCAGAATTCCAAATGAAATAGGGAATTTGAGACAGTTGACTGTTCTAACTCTATATCGAAATAGCTTTTATGGACCTATACCTCAGTCTCTAGGGAATTGTACACATCTAAACATTCTGTCTTTGGCTGTAAACGATCTCTCAGGTGCAATTCCCCCTACTCTTGGTACACTACCCAATCTAACAGAAGTTTATTTGTTTATGAACAATTTATCCGGTCCTTTACCACAAGGATTTGAAAATCGTTCTTTTACTATGCTTGTTATCTCTGATAACAATTTCACTGGCCACTTACCACCACAAGTATGCAAAGACGGGAAGTTACTTGAGTTCACTGTAGCTTACAATAGTTTCACTGGTCCAATCCCCATGAGCCTCAGAAACTGCACATCTTTGGTTAGAGTTCGTCTTGAACATAACCAATTGACAGGATATGTAGATAAGGATTTGGGAGTTTATCCTAATCTTACCTACATGGACCTCAGCTACAATAGGCTGCAAGGTGAGCTTTCTGCAAATTGGGGTGCCTGCAAGAGTTTGCAAGCTCTTATCATGGCTGGAAATTCAATAGGGGGGATTTTACCTAGTGAGATCTTTCAGTTGAAACAGCTACGAAAGCTTCATTTGTCTTCAAACCGAATATCTGGCGAGATTCCTGCTCAAGTTGGAATTAGCTCTAACTTGTATCATCTGCATCTGGGTAGCAACAATCTTTCAGGAGTGATACCAGAAGGCATTGGGAAGCTTTCTAGTTTGGAGTCTTTAGATATGTCAATGAATAGATTAAGGGAACCTATCCCTTATCAGATAGGTGATTGCTACAAGTTGCTGAATTTAAACTTTAGCAACAATTACTTTAGTGGCAAAGTCCCATACCAAATAGGAAATCTTTTGGCTTTACAAGATTTTTTGGATCTGAGTCACAATTCACTTTCTGGAGAAATCCCTGTTGATCTTAGTAAACTCAACAAGTTGATAAGCTTGAACATGTCTCACAATAATTTCTCAGGTCCTGTCCCTAACTTCTTAACAAGAATGTTAAGCTTGTCAAGCATCAACCTCTCCCATAACAATTTGGAAGGTCCTGTACCAGACAGTGGAATTTTTAATTCTTCTAAGTCAGTGGATCTAAGTAACAATAAAGATTTATGTGGGAGGATCCAAGGCTTAAAACCTTGCAATATCTCATCTATAAAGCCACATGGTGGAACTAACAAAGGAAAAATGGTTATAGCTGTCACTTCTTCTTTGGCTGCGGCATTGATTTTGTTGGGAGTGATTGGGATTTTTATTATTCTCCATAAGAGAAACTCAAGAGCCGTAGAACATATCACAAGGGCCTGCAAAGAAAATCTATTCTCCATATGGCACTTTGATGGCAAAATTTTGTATGAAGACATAATTGAAGCAACTGGGAACTTTGCTGAAAAATACTGCATTGGGGAGGGAGCTCTTGGAAAAGTTTACAAGCTGACATTACCAGGGGAGGATAAAGTATTTGCTATAAAAAAGTTGGTGTGTGAAGCTGATAACCTTGATATTGAAAGCATAAAAGCTTTTAAGAGTGAGATCAAAGCCCTAACAGAAACACGACATCGTAACATTGTGAAATTGTACGGGTTTTGCTCACAAAAGCTGCACACATTTCTGATTTATGAGTACATGGAAAGAGGGAGCTTAGCTGATATACTTAGAAATGATAAAGAAGCATCAGAGTTGGACTGGTCAAGGAGGTTTAATATTATCAAGGGCGTAGCACAAGCTTTATCTTACATGCATCATGATTGTAATCAGCCAATTGTTCATAGAGACATATCTAGCAAAAACATTTTACTGTCTTCAAATCTTGAAGCCCATGTCTCAGATTTTGGCACAACAAGATTCTTGAAGCCTGATTCATCAATTTGGACAACATTTGCTGGCACATATGGCTATGCTGCTCCGGGTGAGTTCAATATGAAACCTTGTTTGACTTTGTTGAAAACTTTTGATTTGTTATGTAATTAGAAAATTGATCACTTTAAGCAACAGGGAAAGTCTAGTAAAAAAAGCTAATCTTTCATAACATGATAGACTAAATTTTCAATCCCTACTGGAAAAGAGCCAACATTTAGTGTTCAACAGTTTCTTAAATAGGTCTCTAATAGGATAATACTTGTGCTTAAAAAAAATGTCATTGATCATTTTATCTAGAATCCAATTGATCACTTCATTTTGCCTTGTGCAGAGCTTGCATACACAATGGCAGTGACAGAAAAAATTGATGTCTATAGCTTTGGTGTTTTGGCTATTGAAGTGCTTATGGGAGAGCATCCTGGTGAGTTAATATCCTACAACAGAACAAGTGGGATGAATCAGATCAACTTCAAAGAGATTCTGGACCCTCGTTTATCATCAACAAATCAGCAAAACTTGAAGAAATTGGCTTTGATTTGGCACCTGGCTCTTCAATGCTTACAAGCAAACCCTCATGCTCGGCCAGCCATGCGAAATGTTGCACAATTGATGGAGATGGAGAGTGCTCATGAGATATGATTGGTGTCTCTCATAGCTTTGTTTCTCTGCAAATAAAATAAATGTTAATGTGAAGCCCATGTTATGTTTCATTTAGACACCTTTCAGCTCAGTTGTAACCATATTGAAAAATGCTCTAGCTCTCAGTGCACTCACTGAACAAATTTCGACGAATCTAATTTGACGTTAGGGAGGGGACTACTTCTCAGTCTTGACTCAAACTTAACCCTAAAAATAGAAAGGACAATTATCTTTCTTCATTTTCTCCCCCTCATTTTATACAATTCAACGAATTGAATGCACGAACACAAATATGTTAAAGCTAGCCTTGAGTTTGAGCATCGGTGCTACCATTAAAACAACTTATCGTTGACAAAAGGACCATTAATTATATACTTACCACAAAACAGTCTACTTAGTTTATCTTGTTTAAAGAAAGGGTTACTAATCGGGGAACTAGTTTTGGTATTCATCACGTCGACATTGACATTTGCACCGTCTAAATATAGTTTTAATAGTTTTGATATAAATTTTCAGTTAAAGATTTTTAAATAAAAAATTACTTTTTCGAAAAACTAATAGTTGAGAGACCATATTTATTTTAGATTTTATATATATTAAAATAATTTTTTTAAAAGAATAAAAGTTAAAAAATTTGGAGATAAGCATCAAAATCGCTTAGACCATTGTAAATTTGACCACAAGATATCTTAGATTCCACGTCATGATTTAATTTTTAAATGCATTGGGTCCAAATAAATGACGTCTGATTAGTTGTATTACAAGTTGAATGGATAAATTTTACATTTTTATATTGACGATTATATTCAATTATAAAAGGATTCAACAAGATTTAATTTTTAAAATAATTAAGTAAAAAGAAAGAATGGCATCTAATTAGTTGAGTCAATATAAGACATATATAGGAATATTCATGCTCAGTTATCCAGGAGCTATTAAAATACAAATTCTCTTATTAAAATAACTCAATGACGCGTAAAGAATTCGTCAAACGAAAGAATTTGAACTCCAACATTTCTCAAGCTTCATTATTTTTTTGAAGTCACTATCCCAAAATCTTAAACAAGTTTAAAATTAAATAACGATTTCGTTTTCTCTCCTTAGACGAGTCATAAACTTATTTTATAAATCAATTGTGCAAAATAATTTCAAAGGGGCCATGTTACTTTATACTTTTTTCAAATGAATCATAGCTGAGTCATATTTGGACGATGCAACTTTAAATTCAACACGAATCCGATTTCTCTGGGAAATTTTTTCCATCGTTGTCACTTAGATCCTTCTGCTAGCTCATTATCTGGAATAAAGAAGAGTTTCATTAACTTTGTAATTCATTATTTCATATAGTTGACATTTGATTTATATATATATTTATAACCATTTGAGTTTACAAACTTTCCATAAATGAATTACACTAATTATCATTATCTGAGTAATAATCATACATATATTTGACATTCTAGTTCTGTGCTTCGTCTTGAAATGGTCAAGTAATAGCTTTCCTTAATTTTGTGACTAAAAACCTTCTTTCAAAAAGTCCAATCTGTTTCCAGGAAAGTATTGAAAGTTCGCTATTGAAACCAAGACTTTCAGCGGCGACACTTTTGTCGCCGTTGAAAGTGGACCTTCAGCGGCGACCTTTTTTGTCGCCGCTGAAAGTATAATATAATAATATATATTTTATTTTACAATAATAATAAACAAATTCAATCTGGCTCAGCGGTAAGAAGATTGGACACGAAAGGAGGCGGTCACGAGTTCGAACCTGGAAGAAGACACATTTAAGGTGAAAATATTTAGACGATGACATGGCGAGGAGGAGTGATGTGGCAATGACGTGGAGGTGGCTAGTGATGATGTGGCGTCGGCGGTGATGATGTGGCTGCCGATGGGGATGACGTGGCAGTCGATGGTGATGACGTGGCGGCCGGCGACGATGATGTGGCACTGGCGGTGATGATGTGGCATTGGTAAAGCCAATTCTTTTTAGACATTACTTTCAGCGGCGACAAAAAAGTCGCCGCTAAAAGACTATTTGTCGCCGCTGAAAACTCGCCACCGAAAGTGTTTTCAGCAGCGACATTTGTCGCTGCCGAAACTTCTAAAAGTCAACGCTAAAAGTATCTTTTAGCAGTGACCTTTTAGTCGCCACTGAAAGTTTCAGTGGCGACTTGTCGCCGCAAAAAATTTTCAATGGCAACTTTTATACTTTCAGCGGCGACAAAAGTCACCGCTGAAAGTCAATTTTTTTGTAGTGATTAAAATGACTTTCCTAACTATCAACGACAAACGTCACTTAATACATGTTGGGAAATTAACTAGTGAGCTTTCATTTTCCATTGACGTTCCTTAGTGCTTTTAATTAATTGATAGGCCACCAATTTAATTTATTTTAATATTCTATGAAATAACATAGAAAATGAAAACTTCCCTATATTCCATGACCTATAATAATATTTGATCAAGCAACTCAAATGCCAAAATCCTGATAGCTTAAATGAGTAGGTGGCTCAAATATTCACAAAACCAAAACCTTAATCATTGTTCTGAGTATTTTTAGACATTTAATTGATGTTATAAATTAATAAGTCAAAAGTTGTTTTCTCAAACTCTCTGCTTAGTCAAAAGTTGTGTTGTCCGAGATTTCTAGTCTCCCAGTTTGTAGTTAACTTTCTTTAAGAACTACTTTCTTAGGCCATAAACGTAGGAGTTATTGTTAGTTTGGAGTCTGCAAAAAAAAAAAAAGAGGATGAATTGGGTGATAACAATTTTAAAAAATAAAACAAAGAAATGTATTAAATGGTATGTGGCACTCAGCATTCCTAGGAGTTCTTCTAACTTTCTCCCCAGATGAAATCAGGCTCTTGGTGACTGTATACAAACTTACAGTTCTTCTGTAAGCTCCCCCTACATAATGTAATTTAATTATTAGCAAAGTCAATTGCTTTCTCGAACATTCTGCGTACCCCGTAGACCTCTTATAATCAATTAAAAAAAATATTTTGCCACTAATTGAGATAAAACTCTTCTCATATACTTTTCTTATTTATCGTAAAATCACTTCTAAAAAGCTAATTCAAATACCCTAGTTTTCCTGGATTTTTTGTCTTAGTTTTTTAACAAGTTTCTTTAAGGACTACTTCCTCAAGTCTTAAATGCATAGGACTTATTCAAGGAAGTTGTTTACCTCAAGTTCTTTTGTCTCCCATATGTTTTTTTTTTTTTTGGTCTTTCAAAACTACGAATCAATAGAGGTGGTTTTCAATTTAAATGACTAAAATGAGAGGTATTGTAGAAAAACCAACATTATATTTTCCTTTAATCCATGTGGTTTAGCTATCTATTAACTATTATATTAAGAACTAGAGGGAGCATTAAATTATTTTTATGTTGAAACTGTTTACTTAATATTGTCGAAAGTTTGTTGAGTCTGATGTGTATTGAAATTACAAGTCCGAATGAAAATTAGAAGACAGCATAATTGTCGAGTCACTCACAAGGAAGCATAATCTGGTGATAAGTGTGCCATGCGTATGCTCCTTTTTTCTGTCTCATACATATATAAAACATCTTGATTTTGCAGCATAGAGAGAAATTCTGGAAATGATATTATAGATTGCAGACTAACAATATCCATGTCGACTGATTAGGCGAAGGGCCAAAGTGCAGAATAAGATAAAAAACTGCAATATCTTATTCCGGTTGCGACTGATCTTATGGTTTATATTGCACAAATTTGAGAGCTTAATTAAAACAAAAACTGTGTATTTATTAGAAGTCACATTTAGATATAAATTACACAAGACAATATCTTATTATCCCAACAAGGTGGTTCTCTTTTGCTCAGCTTGAGCACATCATCGCGGTACGTACGACCTCTTAGGCATGTGGAGGCCAATAATCCTTATAGTCTGAATATAAGAAAGATGGAGAAAAGTTACGAGGAGCGATTCAGAATAGAAAAACAAGTGAACACCATAAATGAACTAACTCTGCAATATGATAACTTTCATATGGCAATAAGTGACAATCATTAAGGTTAAAATTTAATAGAAATCTAATAACAATGGAGAAGAATGGGTTAATAATATACCCCTGCCGCGTGGATATCTATACCTGACGGAGTTGAAGGAGGACGTTGATCACCAAGTGGCCGAGCTATTGCAGGGTTCAGTTGAAAGGAGAAGAGAAGCACAAAAATCAAAACAAGGTTCCAAACGAGCTTCTTCATCATCTTCCAAAAGTATCCAAGTAAAACGTTAAGCTCCGATTGAACCTTCTTGTATAAGGAAGGACCTCCACTTTGTGGGTTTATATAGACACACACACACGAGATAGTCTTCCTATGTATCGTTATTTTTAAATACTGATCACTTCGGTCCTACATGCAAGAGAAGTAATTAATGCGAAGAAGTTAATCGAGAAAACAAGTTAAATTAGTTATTTATGACAAGAATATGTTAGTTTTCTTAAAGTATCTCCTTCGATCATTCCAGATGGAAACTACTCTCTTGATAAAAAATCTCTTCAACCAGCATGTGCCGTCAAAGACCAAAACATAGTTAGTCTAATAGTGTATGGTCCAGCTAGATCCCTCAGGATCTCAGGTTCAAGTTTCAGAGAAGACATCTATGCTAGGAGGGGGAGCCAGTAGTCAGGAACCACGAACCGAATTAGCCAGTTGCTTGAATATCTAGTAATAGGATCCTAAAAAAGCATCAGATACTAGATAATAGTATAAGAAAATTATGTGCCGTCAGTATAGATAGTTTAGGGAAATAATTATAAATTAGGGAGACAAAATATATTGAGATATGACATTTAGAATCACAGCAAATATCTCTACTAGCTTTTATGTTTATGACCAGATGAACTATCATTTTTCAAAATTCATCTGGTAGACCGATTTAAAACGAAAGGAGAACGATGACAAAGATACGGAAAAGAATTGTTAAAATTAAATTTGACCATGAAATTGGGAAAACAGAGTAACTTGTATG